TAAAATGTATCAGGTTTAAAACTGCATCAACAGTTTTAAGTCAATTCGTACGTCAATTCGTACAGATACAGCATTTTAATGAAGAAACCAATGAAATGAAACAAATCAAATCGGATATTGTAACAATAAATCATTCAATACCACAAGGGAGTGTTCTCGGCTGTATATTATTTTTGTTCAATCTAGCAATCATATTTCGGTAGGGGCCATCGAAACCTAAACTCTAAGGTGGGCCAATAGATGTGTCCAGAAGTGTATTAAATAATCCTCTTTCTTGTCTATTGGCAATATTCTACATACTTTATATAATTTACTGTAATCCTCTTTACATTTTTTTCTTGTGTTTTTATCAACTATATATTTCAGTAACCTTATTTGTATATTTTTTATCTCGTTTATATATGTTTTATAAGTACGCCCATATACACTAAGACCATAACTAATTAAAGATTCGGCAAGAGCATGATATACCATTAGTAGTGTCCGTCTGTCTAATATTTTTCATTAACTGATAAAATTTACAAAAGGCATTTCGGAGCTTAGTGCAAACCTGTTCTATATGCATTTTGAAGTTAAAGTTTCTGTCTATGTCTACGCCTAGGTATCTTAAATTTTTTACCATTTCTATTTTTTGACAATTGCATGCACATTTCATATTATGTAAACATTCATAAGAGTGACCTATTATGCTTAATGTGTCCTGATTCATCGTCCTAGCTGCACGGTTATAAGGTGAGTATATATGCATATATTTAGTTTTAGTAATATTAATAATGATTCCATTATCATGTGCCCATTTAGTGATATTTTCTAGATCTTCTTGGATATTTTCTCATAATTCACTTGGATTATTAGATGCAAATATAAGGCACATGTCATCTGCATACATACAAACCTTACATCTCCGGACAACATTAGCCACACTGTTTACATGCATGATATACCCAACTGGCCCATAGACTGATCCGGTTGGTACACCCAGCTCCACTTTAGCCACTTTTCCTAATTGTCCTGATATTGCTGTACACATAGTTCGCTTGCTCAAGTAGCTTCTTAACCATTCATTCATGGGTTCCTTATTCCACATTCACTCATAGCTTGAAGCAGCATATTATGATCAAGTGTATCGAACGCCTTTTTATAGTCTATAAAAAGAACGAGAGCCTGTAGTCCAGCATCCAGACTCGTATTTACAGTATCAGCAAAGTAGTTTAGAGCAGTACTAGTACTCCTTCCTTTCCTAAAACCGTGCTGCGCATCGTGTAAAATCTTATGCTTTTCTAAAAACTCTGTAATTTGACCTACTTTACCTTTTCCATCACCTTTTTTGTGTATTGGACGTATGATACTTTTTTTTAATTGCTCTGGATAAGTTCCTTGCTCAATACACATATTAATAAATTTGGCTAGTGAAGGACACGTTTTCTGTTTTATATATTTTAAGTCTTGTGCTCTTATTTTATCTACCCCAGGTGCCTTATGGCAATCTATGTCTCTAATGATTCTTTCCACTTGTACTGCATTCACTTTCATGTATCTAAATGTGACGTTACTTTATTTTAAATATGTTTTTCTGTCCATAAATTTTATATTATAATAATGTTTAATTTCTAAAATTTCCTTTGTAAAAGTTGTCGTAAATTTACTACAAATATTGGAAATACTGTCTGATTTTCCTAGGTGCTTAATTATTACATTATCTAAACTTGGCTTTACATGTCCAGTCCATTCATTAATATGCGCCCATACTTTCCTATAAGTACCATTACAATTAGTTATTTGTCTCCTTCTGTACTTATTTTTTGCATAAAAAATTAACTTATTTACCTTATTCCTACACCGCGTATAATCTAACCGCTTATTCATGTTTTTAGGAGATGCTTTCCATATACGAAACAATTTATCCCTCTTTTCAATCATTTTTAATAATTTAATATCAACCCACGGTTGCTTAAATAGATTTTTCTTACCTAACACCTGTAACTTCTGACTATTTTCGTACACACTCTTGAACACATTGCATATATGATCATATAACACTAAGGGGCAGTTTAATCCGTTAAGTTTATTCCAGTCATACAATACTAAACCATCATTAACTTGTCTGAGTAACGCAATTGACCAAACACACTCACATGATCTTTTTTGTATTGTATTTTGTCACTCATACCTGTGCTTACACAAATACCAACTATGTGATGATCCAATATGAAGCAGTCAATAATGTACGCAGCGACGCTCACGCAGTACCCGCGAGTCTGTCTCGTTCGCATCCATACATGATCCAAGCAGGACATCTCACGGCGCCCGTTCACTACCGCTTCCCGCGTTATCTCTGTATTCGGTATAACGTTCTGCAGGCCGCATACACACAAACTGTTTTTATATCTGTTTATGGTGGGATTTATTTTATTTCCCAATACGTCTATGTTTATATCTCCGATGACAAATACGGTGTCTGTATATTGAACACCTCTCATAAGAATCTCAATTTCTCTGATAAATTGTAATTTGTTCTTATTGGGTGGCCGATATATAGCAACAATATGCGTGCATGCTTTCTCTGAAGTTATTATTCCATGTACAACTTTTGCCGACCCAATATTTATTATTTTCATAGTGCGTGCTCGTGCTCAAGTTTTTTCTTGTATAAATTATTAAACCTCCACCTCTTTTTTTTCTTCTCTAGTATGAGAATAAATATCATATCCTTTTATATTATATATCATTACTTCCTTTGTTTTATATTTATTTCTGTAAAAATTATAATATCTATTTGCTTCTTTGATTGACTTAGTAGAACCATAAATTCATTGAAGTTTTTTCTCATAGATCTTATATTTAAATGTATCATATATAAATATCCATCAGTCATTTCCCCATAAAATTGATAAAAGTTTTTGTACCTTTTAAATGGTATTTCTGATTCTATTTCTGTTTTATTCATTAAAGTTTGTAGTATATATAAAATCATATAGTGTGTACATGCCATGCTATATTGCACTTTATGATGTTGCTGCGTTTGTTTTGTATTTAAGTACTTCTATATCTTTTAATGTTTTGATATTATATATTTTATTTTCGTCTTCATTTCTTTTTACCAATATATTTCCGTTTTGTACACAAATGAAGTCATAGAATCCTTTTAGTTGATTTTTGGTTTCCCAGAATATTTCTCGCTTATGTTTGGGTAAATCTTCATTAATATATATATGCGGGAAGCTTTCGTTGCCGTATATATCTCCGTTAGTAGGGGTATTTTTACGAACTTTTAACCATCGATCCCTCGCTGTTTTTGAGCGAAGTTTGACTATTACAGCTTGCGGCTTACCTCCTTTATTTTTTTCTCTACCCACCCTTCTTGTTTCTTCGATATCTTCTGCACTTAATTCTAGTATATTAGCTTCCTTTTCTATAATTTCCTGTATGTTTTCAGTTCCATGCTTCTCAAGTCCCATCATTTCCACCTTTGTTTCTCTTTCCTTTTGGTCCAAATACTGTATACGTTCCTCTAAGGCAGCAATGCATTTTTCCATGTATATATTCTTCTGCTCCATCGCCTTTAATTTTCTTTCTGTCTCCGTACTAAATTCCATCATTTTCTGATATTGTTCAGCATAAAAATCTACTGTTTCATGTAATTCCTCAATACGTTTTTCGAGCTTATATATTATATCCAGTTTTTTGTTAATATCCAAGAGGATAGTTCCAGAGGAAATATTCCCTATGTTAGTCGGCGCACCTTCCTTACTGATGGGCGTTTTCCCTTCTTTTTGTTTGCACTCATCACAGATTTCATCTTGTAAAAATTGTTTTATATTTTTTATGCACTTTTTATGGAATACCGACTCGCATTGACCTTTGCACTTTATTATAATTATCATCCTTTGTCACAGAAACAAAAAGCTTGCATTTTCTACACTGCACCATTTTTTATTTTGGATAATATTAATAAGAATACTTCTATGTTGAATGTTTTGTAAATAATTGATCGAGTCCGTTTACTTGATAGCAACTGTTTAACAAACGTCCGCTCGTCGAGCGTGTACGCGCGGAGTGTAGGTTAAGGTATTGCGGATTTTCCTCTTATGTCCAGGGAAGTAAAATCTAGTCTGCAGTTAATTATTATAAAATAACACAATTTTTTGTTGGTGTTGTGATAACTTATCAGGTCAGTAAGGTCTACAGCTAGACGGGATGGGTTCAGGGTAGAACATTCTCTAATGGTGCTCGGGAGTCAACCCCTTCTTTTGAAAAAAAAACGACGGTTTGCACTCCGGGAGTACCGGCAGAAGTGAAAACTTGAATATTAACGTTGTGCATTTTTGATATTTTGGAATGGTTAGGAAATAATTTTGCACGAATTGCTTTAATTATCAATATAAAAGTACTATCATTTATGTGGTACAATACAATATTTATTTATTGTGCTATCGTACACAAACATGACAATTTATATTAAATTAAAAAGTTTATCTCTCAGAAAAATCAACTTACATGAATCACATTTAAGCGCACCTAGCGACATCTATTGTAAAAAAAATGCATTTTCTGCGTAATAAAGCTGTCACCTGGACGTCCTTTCGCAATAAAATATATCTATGTTTCCTCCAATATATTGAAAGTCAACAACCTTTCCAATTTTATTGTTTTCTTACGAATTTTTGATCAGGCCACTTGTCCTGACGCGAGTTTAACATTATTTACCCATTACAAAAAAAGTGTAAAACGCCGCTAAAGAAGTTTTCACTTCAAAAACTTTGCAAATTAATAAGCGACAAGGTGGTTTAATTTGTTTTTGTACAATGTTGCAACTCTTTTTTTTTACCCCGTCAAAGGCTAATTCTAGGATAATTTGTGGGATAAAAGCTATCCAATGTCCTATCCCGGAACTCAAGCTATCTCTATAGAAAGTTACAGATAGGTACACTAACGCATTTATAGTTTTATTATCATTATTTAGATAGATTAGGCAGAATTACTATGGATTTGAACTTTACCTGGCCCATGTTAGCGTTGTTCATTTTCCTAAGCATCTGCATTTCCTTGCTGTTTCTCTGTAGGACACCGTCTAGCTGTTCCATAACAGTCAGTCCCTCTAAAAAGTTTAAAACCATGACTACACCACGAAATAATGGAACCGCTGCCACAGAATATATACACTACGCGAAAAGAAGCGACACTTAAGCATGTGTGCTCGTAAAATCGGCCGCGGCTATGTGTGGGTGTCTGGAGGTGTGCGGGGGCGTTGCGCGGCGCGCGGGGCGTGGAGAGGGCAGTCGCCGACTGCCTCGACCGAAGGGATGGCAGTAGCGAAATAGTAAAATAATAGCGTTGCACTGCATTGCACGCACAGACTGACTACGCTACGCAATCTTATTATTATTTAGATAATAATAACAATTATAAAACGAATTGAAAAAGGAGAAAATATATAAAAGTTAGCAATTTGTTATAGTACCTACATTAAAAGATTAAAAATTGATTATAAAATCAAACCTATCCTTTATTATTTACCCCAGTATCCTTGAATCAGTTTACATTTAATAACTTACTATGCATAAATATTCATTGGCACAAGTCTAAATTCCAAGTTCAACCCTAGCGCATACACGCTCCTGCTCAAGGTCACTGACGCTGGAACTCTCACGTACACAGAGTGTCACCGCTGTGCCGCTGCGCCCGAGTAGATAATCGCGCTCGCACGCATTGACGTTACGTTTATAGGCATTCTCAATGCGCTTAACGAGACAGTTTTTATCCTGGCTGCTGGCACCGGGCCTGTGCCAGTATGCTTGTTCACGGGCACGGTGTTGTATCGGTTTTGTACCCCAAACTGTCGCTAGCACCGGTATCGTAAACAAACTTCAATAAGGGCGCTTGTTAACGACCTGTTTTCCACCGTATTTAGGCACGGTTTATATCTGGGCCGGTGCTGGCTAAGCTTTGTTCACGAGCACGGTTTTGACTTTGTACCTTCAGTGTCGTTAACAAACCTCCATCATCATAGTCACTCATCACTGCCAACACGCACTGTTCCAAGGCCTTGGTCTTCAGGCACTGAGGTATATCGGCCGAGAAGACATCGCTAAGTTTCCTGAACGCTGCCCAGCCGAGCTGAAGCCGAAGTTTTGATACGGAACTCTAACTTTCTTGAAAATACACTGTTGCCTATATTAATCAGTGATAAAATAGCATTCAAATAATAAGAATTTTTAAAATCGGTCCAGTACTTTTTGAGCCAATTCGTTACAAACATAGTTACATACAAATCTTTCCTATTTATACTATTATACCTTAATAGTATATAATAGTATAGATTCGTGTTGTAACCCACTGCAGAACTGTTTATCGCATTATGGAACTAAGACCACATACGCAAAATGTGTGCATGCTGGTCAGAGGAACTACCTACATAGTTCTGAATTAGTTGTGTAAGAAGCCGTTTTCAGCTTCAATCCAATCGGTGCATGTGTATTGTAATAGGCTAATTGGTGTGAGCGTAGGCAATATTGAATAAGAATATATAAAAATAACTTGATATTATGGTACGGAGCTCTTTATGAGCAAGTCGCCGTGCGTTTATACGTTTCTTTTCTTTTGAATACTAATACTTCAAAGTGTTATTACCATCACACTCCATCGCCGTCTGCATTCTGAGCAGGATCGCTTTCTTCAAGTCTGATTCTAGTCTTGCACGTTTGCTTTTATGCATCCCAGACTTGGCGATCTGTGGGGATAAATAATATATACCTACTTAACTGCTAAGGGTAACAGGTAATCGCTTAAGGGTCTGAGACCATCCGATGTGTGTAACATAAATATAGTTTATTTTACTAAAATGCTCCTTTAAAAACCTTTGAAAATTGATCTGTAAGAGCGGAAAAAAGCGGTATTGGAGCAACTGACAGGGAAAGAAACTTCTACCTCACAAAAGCCTTCATTGTAATAATTGGCATTTTTCCAGAGCTTAATGGGGTAAGGGATGGTGTCAGGGTATCGCAAGCGTCTATCGGTAATGGCGGCCGCTTACCATCAGGTCGTGGAGCCCCGGCTAGTCCGGGAGTCTGTAGGTGCGGAAACGCAGAAGAATCCCTAAACGAGGATCCCGTGGCTTCGCACTTAGCAGCTTAGAGGGTATTCGCAAGGATCTTTATCGGATATTGTGCCGTAAAGCGCCCGTAAGAGTTACGGGGTCCGCAGTGGGCAGCCACTGCGGGGGCCAGGTGTGAGGTCCGTTCGGCAGTGTGCCTCTTAAAGGCGCCGTCGTCTGTAAACTGAGGTTTTGCCTGCGTTAACAAAAATAAAAAGGTGGGCTATATGCTTGAACGGACGGAACGGACGGTTATAACTGCCGAGGTAGAGTTACTAGTTACTTTGTATGCCTTGTATTAGACAGAATTATAAGTAGTAAATACGAAAAGTAGGCATGCATAAATACAATACAAGATTTTGTTGAAATTTGTATTTTCGTTAATAATGTTAATCACAACTCGAGTAATTGTTAAAAAAAACCAACAACAATGCACGTAGACACAAGAGGAAAGAAAAAGATTCTCCGTAAGTAACATTGGGTAAACACAAAGTTGATATTCGCGCTCACAAAAAAAACATACAAAAGGCACCAGAGGGACGACCGACGCAACGTGGAAAAAGAAAGAATCCTTACAATTTATCGTTAAGATTTTTTTTGTATTCTCAGCCAATCTCTTTCTATCAAAAGAGTTCGACCAATTTATGGCATAAAGTGTTCGTAACTGGCACCTATTTGTGAATAGATTGCTCATTTTCTATCTTCCGATAGAAATGCTCACCGGCAAAGATATTGTTTCTCTTTCTTCGTGCAATGTTGGCCTTTATTAACACAAAAGATATGACCTCCTCCCACTCTAGGCTCTTTGCCTAGAGTGGGAAAAAGAGGAATCTTACATTTTTTCCGCAGCGAGCGATATGAATTCCCTTTTGATTCATTAGTACGATTCGATATTTGAAATATGATTCAACTTTTTTGTGAGTGCTAAGTGGCAGTAATTGTTTTAGGAGATATTTTAATTGCATACCTTTGTACATGTTTATTCTTTATAAAATGCTCTAAATTAATAAATTTTGATATAAACTGGATACAATAAAAATTCTTTATTATAATTGTTTACATACTATTTATCAACACACACGCCAACATTTTCACTCGTTTTCTTCTTAGCTTCTTTGAAAAAATGCTTAATATCGTTGAGAGTGTTACAATATCTTCTTTTATAACAATTCAGTACTTAAGATTATGAAAATCAAGATTTAATAATAGTTATAGCTAATTGTTTACTATCACAAAAGGTAACACAATATTTTTGGCAATTGCAAAATTTTAACTTGTAGTATATTTGTTTAAACGTTGATGATTTTCAAATAAAATAATATTAACATGGTAGTATATTTATTTTGCATGTTGTCAGGAATGACGTAAAGTTAAGATTCAGGCCCATTTGCAGCAAATTTGCTAAATCTCAATTCAATTAAAACTATTCGTATATGCCATAGAAAAATGACAATTCGACATTATTGTTAGACCAAGTCAAGTTCCAGATATATTGAGATATATTGCAAAATTCCTGCAATTGGATCTCAAAAATTCGGTAAATTTCTTCCAGTACCTTTAAATCCTTGAGGATGTTGAGGTATTCCTTCTTGAGCGTCTGCATAAGTTGGTCTTGCCTCCTGAATTGGGGATGCACCCCCATGGCCCTCTGTAGTCTGTCCGTTTGTATCGTGCGAAACTGAAATGGTTCATGCAGAATATGTTGTTAGAATGTCATTTCCTTTAAATAATCTTTATAAGACCTTAATAAGCGCTTTTAGATTTTTGTAACGCAATCGCACTTTATCGGCTCAAGGTCCACTTAGACCTTTTTAAATTAAAATTTAATAGCTGATCATGTTTAAGCCTCATACAATCTGTACTCGATTTGAAATAATTGACAAGTATGAAAGGATTTGATAAACAGGATTATTTTCAAAGAATGATAAAGAAAGTTGGTGCATGTGACTTTATTTATTCCGAAATAATTGGGATGATTTATAAAAAGAACTTCATGACATATTGTCTCACGGGCAGATTTCTGGAATTTCGTATAATATCTTCATAACAGGTTTTGTAAGATTTTTTCGCGGGCGTAATCGCGGGCAAAGTTTTATATAACTATGGCTTCCCGGGATTGAGTGTGAATCTGTGATAATAAGTTTTAGATCACCCTTATAATAACTTGCGAAATGGTTGCTCATTTCACGAGGCCAAGTGGTTTCATGGTGTCGCCGACTCGAGAGGTCCCTGGTTCGAATCCCGGTGGGGGCAGATGTTTGTATGATGAATACGAGCATTTGTACTCCAGTCATGGATGTTTAATATATGTTTCTATATGAATATACTTATATATGTACAGTATATGTATTCTATCCGTTACCCTAGCATCCCATAACACAAGTCTTGCAGTGCTTACTTTGGAGCTAAGCTAATTGGTGTGAGTGTTTGAAATACACACATACTTGCAACGCTAGCCCAAATACTCCAAAACAGTCGTGCTCCTGTATTAAAATTGAAATTACATCCTCAATTAAATATCTAGGAGTTATTTTAGATGAAACTCTATCTTGGAAGGAACACATATGTCTAGTTTCATCACGTGTTAGAAAGCTCGCATACGTATTTAAAATCTTAAGAGATGTGGTTGACTTTGCTACGTTAAAAGTCATATACTACTCTCTTGCCCAGTCATTAATTACTTATTGCTTGGGTGCATGGGGTGGATCTCCTGGAAGTGTTTTGCTGCGTTTAGAAAGAGCCCAGAGAGCGGTTCTAAAGGTTATGATGCAAAAGCCTTTTAGATATCCAACTGTCGAACTATATTCACTCACCGGTGTTTTGACTGTTAGGCAGATGTTTATTCTCAATGCTATTCTGTACACACATCGTCGCCTCCCATATGACCCAGAAACTGCCAGAAGTAAGCTTGGATGTGGTAGGGTTTGCAATATTAGTAGATGCAGGCTAACATTGTCTCGTCGCCACCTTTCAAACATTGCTCCTTTGTTATATAACCGGACCAGCAAAATCATTGACATATATCCACTTACCCTTTATAAGTGTAAGACGGTTGCTAGGCAGTGGTTGCATTCCCTTTCATATGATGAAACGGAGAGCTTACTCAAGGTCATCAAATAATACACGGATATACATGTGAAATCACATGTAACTATCATTTTAGTACAACCGGACACTCTCATAAACATACACACATGCACATACAGATACACACGCATATACAGACTCACACACACACACACATATATACAAACACACACACACACATACATAATTTTTATCTTTAAGTAAATGGTAAGATATGAACTGTAATTTTTATTTATGTATTATGGAACACACGTCTCTGTATCTGGAGGTGGGCGCTAATAGCTGTAACACAGTTCTAGAAACTAATATAGCTATTAACGAACCTAATTATACATGTAACTAGCGGTGGGTCGTTCTCAAATTTTCCGACGACGAAACGCAACCGTTTTCTCTTAAACGAAAACTAGTCCTCGAAACGGTTCTCGTTCGCAACTGGTTTTCGGCTGGGTGACGCAACGAAACGACACGCGACGGTCGAACGAATGTAACGCAACGAAACTGAACTAAATGAAATCTTGTTAACGTTCGTTTCGTTGCTGCGAACGAGACGACGAAACATCGAAATAAATGTAGTGTTATACGATAATCGACTTTAAATGTTCAATAATAAAGATTATATTATTGTAAAATCAAAGCTTAATTATCATAGAACGAAACGGCCTCTTAGCATTGCGTTCTATTATAGACTGTATTTGCTTAATCATAAAGAACATATTGGCTTGCAGACAATCCGAGGACTAGTTGTTCGACGAAGACTGTTTTGATCCGAAACGTAAAACGGTTCTATCGTCGCGGAACACAAAACGGTCCTTGAAACCGGTTCGTCTTTAGAACGCTCACACCTACATGTAACCTTAATTAGTTCCAATAAATATATTTTCATTTTTCATTTTCATTTTCATATTTATTTTATTAATTTATTGTCCACACTGCATAGGAAGAACGGGTCATGACCCATCACACGGGCCCAGGACGGCATGTGTAGCCGGGATCATAGTGTCTATCAAAGCACGGAAACGGAAGAGCGTGAGATAAGAAATTTTTAGTCACCCATCTTCCAATTGGCCATTGCGAAAGATGCTGAACGGTTGAGGCCGGCGCTATAGATCTGTCTTTAAAAAAGAATTCTCAGATACTTATTTAATGGAAATTACACAATTATATTACACAAATCACACGCGAACTCTTACCAAGTCTCGGAGCTAATCGGGAGAACTGCTCTCCCGATTAGGGGTCCATTGTAGGGGAGACATAAAACTTATTCTCTCGAGCTCGTCCGTGCTTTATAAGGCACGTTAAGCTGTAAGTAACGGCTGCAGCTGCTGTCAATATCAACTACCAATCCGCACTTGGCCCGCGTGGTGGGTCACGGCTCTATTTCCATATTTCATCCATAAGAAAGGCCTGTGCCCCAGCATAAGGGACATTAATAGGCTGATGATGATTATTTACTCATTAAATTGGCCATGAAGACAGGGTCTGACCCATACCTGTGGGGTGCTGGATTAATTCCGTTTTTTTTTAAAGATGTTAAGGGTTAGTTTATCTCAAAAGCATATTAACCTGTCTTTGTAGCCTGCAATGCTCGTCTTCCATTTTCCTTAGCACTTCGATGTCGTTATTGTAGTCATTACCTGTAGAATTCTCCATAATTGTTTTTACAAGATTTTACAAAATATGTCTAAAAAAAGCACCACAGTACGACGTCAAAATTTAATGTTCCGTCTCTGAGCCATCTCGATTGCAATGTATTCAGTTTTTGTAAATGTATTTATAATTATATTGTTGTGTTTGTGTCAAATCATTTTCTATTTTCGTCGAGTGGTCAATCTACTCATTAAATAACACAATAGGGTATTTCCAATATTTGAAAACTGCTTATAAAGATTTGGACAAACGATTTTTAAGTAATAGTGGCCGCCTGCGACTTCGTCCGCATTCACTTTAGTTTCTTTGAAAATCTTTTAGGAATCTAACACTTGCGAGATGATTTTGAGATCCTTTTGCATAGGATAGGGCTAAAAAAGTACCTATCCTATGTCTATTTCCAGGTTATGAGCTGTGTGTGTGTAAAATTTCATCCAAATTTCGTTTCCGGCAAAATTCCGGCAAGACGATTTTGCGTGATTGAGTAACAAACATACAAACTTTCACATTAAGCTAGAAAACGTCTAGTCATTTAGATTTGAAATAATATGTGAATTAAAGTTTTGAAATTTCACATCACCGAAGCAATTTCTTCGGAAAATCTGGTGCGAGCATTATTCACGTAGTGCAGCAGAGAGGAATCTGCCAAGCCGAGAATCGGATTTAAAATGTCAGAGCTAGCCTGGATGTTATTGTGTTACTGCACAATGCGGGGCTTAGGAAGCTACAGGCGCTGCCGGCGGGCGAGGCTAGTTTTTTGAGCTTTAAGATTCATTCGACTTGTTTGCTTTTAAAAACGGTTCATTATAATATTATCTAAGCATTACGCTGCCGAGAAGCTCAATGGCATAGTATCTGGTCTGTAGTCGTGAAAGTAATGTAACTTTCGCAGTGGTCGACCGACCAGTCATAGGATGAGTGAAGAAAAAGGAGACGGTTCAAATTTGTATGGAGAGTGGTAGTGAGTCTCCGGCAGACTCCAAAATTTTCTGACATGTAGGACACTTAATTGTAAATCGTTTGCCAAAATATTATATTTTTTTTAATCCCCGCCAATAATAATTATAACTAATATTTACATACTTATTGATTGGCAAATGACAAGTTCATTTGCCTACGGTTTGTTGGTAAAAATTCAAATATTCTATTCAATAAGTAAATTTTTCTGTTCAACTCTCATTCTATTATTAGGTATTTTGGAATATTTTATTTTTAAAAGAATCAATCATAAATGAGATAAGAGCCTGCGCTGTTTTAGGTGGCGGATCACGGAGCAGGCTTTCGCTCCGCGTGCAGTTCTGATGTCATTTTATAGAGACCCGCTACGCGGGATATCCGCCTTACGCAGCGCTGAAATAACATAAAACATACACGCGGAGTGGACGCCCGCTCCGTGGACGCGCTTGACGCAGCGCACGCTCTAATAATTTCACACGATTTCAGTTGACGTTATAAGCAGACTATAAATATAACGTTACTTATGACTGGATGGTCAGCATTCTTACGAAATTGTTAAATTTTCAAACAATTTAAAATTAATTGGGGATAAATATAAGAAATATTATTGTCTTTTCATGTTATAACATAAAACAAGCTTTCAATTGATGTATGTTTCATCGCTACTGGAAACTGACTCCCACTTTTGTACATATCGTTATTACATTTTTATTTTATGCATTTAACTACAAATAAATCTGTCCCTGTTTGATGCCCGGACCGCGTGGAATTTGTCCATAATTTTTAATCTAAAATGTGCTAAAGCGCTACGGAAGATTAGTACTGTGATTGCCCACGTCACTCGCAAAATTCGAGGCAGAGGCCTAAGGCTTGGGTCATGAGATAACAGGGTAATGGATGAAAAAAAGAACACTGATCCATACCATACATATATGAATAAGTACCCAAGACTTAGATTCAAATAGCTCGTATTCATCATTCAAACATCCGGGATTTCGAATATTTCAAATCCAGGATCTCTGAGAAGGCGATACCTCGAAAACCGGTGTACATACCATTCCAGAACAGAGGTATACACAGAACAGAGGTATTCAAATTCAATTTGAATAAGTTACTTTACTATATTTTTATATTTTTTCTATATGTTTCTTTTTATATATTTTCACAGATTTAAGTTCAAATTGTATTAGAGTTTACCAGTTTCTTCGCTCTTTCTCTATACAATAGAAGGTAGCATCCGTTTATCGAATACTGGCCAACTTCTTTGTCAATTTCGTGTGAAGGCTTATAAAATCGTCGACTTTAAAAATCAATGCCGGAGACGACGGCAGAGGGGCCGCGGACTCAAAGGAATAGTGCCGAAAAAACACTGAAGAGGATTTCTCTGTGACAACGCTGCGGCCAACTATCACACCGTCGAGTAATCTCATTCCATCCATTTTATCTGAAGTGTTATAGATGTTCATTTACGAAATAACCACCCCCGTTTGTCGCCTACATCTGTTCATCGTATATACTTTAACATTTTCTTTCCTACATCTTGAACTTGAATATTTCGACAAAATTTCAGCAAAAACTTAGTCATGCCTGAAAACCCCATTTTCTACAACGGAATGTTGTGCTTTTATTCCTTAAGAGTAACAAGAAAATATAAAGGGCATGTGGTTTTAGAAAGGTGCTAGTGTTCTCACATTCAGCTATCATTGGAACGGACTTTTCACAACATAAAATCAGGTGTTTATTATTGTTATTTATTTATTAGTGCGTGATACGCGGCGTCCTGGCACATCGATTTTATTAAAACAAAGTGTAGTCCAGTCAACAAGTTCAAAAACGTGAAAAATAGAGATAAAGCTCCTAAAAATATGAGCAATAGCTCATTGGATTCGGAACGACCTCTAGAAAAATGAGTTTTGAGGATTTTACTGCACGTAAAAAATTGCAATTGTTATTAACAAAATAAGATGAAAAAAAAGAGGTATTTACGTTTTTGTTAATAACTCATAAACTATTAATATTTACGATATTTGGAAAAAATATCCTTAAAGAGGAGGAAATTTCCGAAAAAAAAGTCCCAGCTCCCGGAACTCTACCTCTATTATTTATAATTTTAATTTAACGCTGAAAATAGGGCTCCGCGCAGACATTACGGCATGGGCGCACTGCCGTTAAAGACAGTTTCTTACATAATTTTTTTTTTTATAGTAACAAATATGAATTTAAAAATTTAAATAAATTATGGTGTCATCCAGATACTTGAAAGAATATATTCCCGTTGGAAATTTTTTTTTAAATTAATTTTTCAAAAAGTTATGCAATTGTTAATTAACGAATTTTTTTCCCATCTCCGTTTTCATAAATGACGACATAAAAATTTAAATAATAAACCTATAAATTTTTAGCTCTGTGGAGCTCTTCTTATATATATACTTAACAAGATCCCGCGATAAAAGTTTATTAAAGTTAATTATTTTGTTTATAACAATTTTTTAAAGTTAACAAAAAATGAAAAGTCTAAGAAATGTTATTAAAAAAATTTTTTTAAACAAATGTTATATTATTGCTGCTTTCTTATCCAACAATGGCATTAAGTAACATCGGAAAAAAAATTTTTACATCATTTGTTAAGAAATTGTTTATAAACAAATAGACAAGTTTAATATTTAAAGAAATTTTTTTTTACCATTATGTTGTCTTGGCAAAATAATGATTTTTTAAAAAAAAAAATTTCTTAAATAATTTTTTTTATTGTTTATAATCGTTTTTTTTATATTTCGATTGTTTAAATAATTAGTTAAGGAATGATTTTCTCTTTAAAAATCATAATTGGCATTTCTTCATAGGTAAATAGAATTTTTTTTTTTTTATCAATAATTTCATTGTTTGTTAACTTAACAATTTGTTATAAACAAATTCTAACTACCGTTATATTTTTTTTCTAGAGCTAAAAAAAATAACAAAAACAGCCATATATATCAAAATACTAAAAAAAAATTTTTCTATTTTTTATAATGCTTTTAAATATTACACGATACCAAAGTTGCACCGGACACTTGATTTGTCAAGTAAAAAATTAGTATAACTTATAAACTATTCGAGATACGATAATGGACATTCAGGTCGTTTTTATAAAGCATTAATTAATCTTCAAAATAAGCTAAAAACCAAGTTTGCAACTATTGTTTATCAGCTAATACATGCATTTTTTTATAAAATTTTGAGATTTCATTAACTTTTTCGTATCTGTTTTTGTTATTTTTTTTAGCTCTAGATAAAAAATATAACGGTAGTTACAATTTGTTTATAACAAATTGTTAAGTTAACAAACAATGAAATTATTGATAAAAAAAAAAAATCTATTTACCTATGAAGAAATGCCAATTATGATTTTTAAAGAGAAAATCATTCCTTAACTAATTATTTAAACAATCGAAATATAAAAAAAACGATTATAAACAATAAAAAAAATTATTTAAGAATTTTTTTTTTAAAAAATCATTATTTTGCCAAGACAACATAATGGTAAAAAAAAAAATCTTTAAATATTAAACTTGTCTATTTGTTTATAAACAATTTCTTAACAAATGATGTAAAAAATTTTTTTCCGATGTTACTTAATGCCATTGTTGGATAAGAAAGCAGCAATAATATAACATTTGTTTAAAAAAATTTTTTTAATAACATTTCTTAGACTTTTCATTTTTTGTTAACTTTAAAAAATTGTTATAAACAAAATAATTAACTTTAATAAACTTTTATCGCGGGATCTTGTTAAGTATATATATAAGAAGAGCTCCACAGAGCCAAAAATTTATAGGTTTATTATTTAAATTTTTATGTCGTCATTTATGAAAACGGAGATAGGAAAAAAATTCGTTAATTAACAATTGCATAACTTTTTGAAAAATTAATTTAATTTTTTTTTTCCAACGGGAATATATTCTTTCAAGTATCTGGATGACACCATAATTTATTTAAATTTTTAAATTCATATTTGTTACTATAAAAAAATAATTTTATGTAAGAAACTGTCTTTAACGGCAGTGCGCCCATGCCGTAATGGCTGCGCGGAGCCCTATTTTCAGCGTTAAATTAAA